CTGCATCCTGTGCCCTCCCATCACTGGTGTGAGAAGCGATATACACACAAAATAAGCCACAATCCTTTATTTATCCTGTTGCTTCCTAAGAAATACTATCTTTTGATGTGTTTCCTCCCACAAACCAGCTTTGATCCAGTGAAAGAAACAATGGCCTTGCTTCATTTTAAGCCAGTAGCATGTATACAACCAAAGCGTCTCATTAGGGTTGACATATTTCAAAAAGTGAAAATCCAGACACAAATGTTGTTGCGTTTTTTTGGCAAAGTAGTTGAGTTTGCTTTTTTTATGTTGTGCTTTTTTTTGCAAAACCTCAAAAATAATGAAGTTTTTAAGCTATTTAGCAAAATCTAGAATTCTGACATGGGTTGCCATACGTCCAGATTTTCAAGGACATTTCAGTGATTTCTGCCTGGACCCTGCTTCAGACTGCAGTATTCCAGCTATGTCTAGGAAATTCCGGACATATGGCAACCCTAGACTCATAGCACTGTAAATGACTAATAATACTGCCATATTAAATTTGCTCAGTTGTTTTTCATTTGAAGTACACAGTGTTTTGTTATAGGCAAAGTCCTTTTTCCTGCTCCTATTCTGAATAGTACATTCAGGTATTCGGTTCATTTGTTGTTGACTTTATATCCCACCTTTCACACCCTAGTGAAACTCACAAAGGTAATGATGAAAATGTTTGTTTACTTTTGAAACTTATCTCTCTTCTTTGTCTTAAGACCTCAGGGTGGAATCCAATAATAACACATAAAGCCGTCAACAAATATCAAAACACAACACAGTTCTGCACATTTAGAAGCAATAATTTGTCACTGTTGCTGCACAGGCAAATTATTTAAGGTTTGAAAGTCTTGAAGAAACAGGCAGGTGTCTAAAGGTCATCGCCACCACCATCTGTTTATTTGTATATCACTTTTCCACAAAATTGTGCCCATGGTAGATCACAATGTATCAAATGAACAACATATTGCAATTATTTAAAAATTCAGAATGGTTAGAAATAAGTGTGAGGTCAGTAAGTAAATACAAAAGTAAATAAATCCACACAACATTGTTTCAAGACAATACAAATAAGCTAACTTAATTTTAACAGCTTGAAACTAAACTGGAGAGAGAATAATGCCAAACACAAAGATAAAATGGAAGTTTAGAAAACTGAGGGTGGGGGGCATCACCACCCCAAAAAGGCATTCCACAGAAGAGCTCCACAGTTAACCCCCTGCTTTATGGGGTAGTCACACCTCTCCCTTGGGACAGACCTCCTTCCCAGCTCTTCCTCACCTCACAGCTGCAGTGGGAATAAAGATTGCCCCTCCTCCTTCAAGCCCCACATACACTCATAGGTTTGAGGATGATAACCTGTGCTCATTGGCCAGCCGGCAAATGTGACCTGTCTCCTGCTGTTGTGCAGTGCACTGGGCACTGTTTGTTGTGGAATTTGCTCTCTATGGTGTGTGTGTGTGTGTGTGTGTGTGTGTGTGTGTGTGTAGGGAGGGAGGGAGGGAGAGAGAGAGAGCGCTTTTGGAACAGCAGCCAAATTTTATTTTGGCCAGTCCAGCCCAGTCTGGTTGTACTATCCCAAGTACTATTTTTGAATGAAAAGCACTTTCTTAGATAAATACTTTTCTCTTCAAGTGTAATTTGCTGCTTTTGAGATGTAGTTTCTGCTTTGGGTCCATTTCTTTCATACCCAGAAAAAGCTTGTTACCAATGATTAAACCTGCAATGTTTTTTTCCGGAATAAAACAAAGAGCAAAGTGGTCTTGCATTCCTGATGCGTGGTGTGGTCTACCTCATTTTGATGATAGCCGTCATCATTCATCTGAAGAGCCATAGCCATGATTGCTAAGCCTCATTATTTTCAATGAGGCCTGACAGTTTCAGAGTTAACCAGAAGACAGCAACTTTCATCCTATGGGTCTTTCTTTTCAAGCATGGGTGACTCCCCATTGACTTGTCAATTGTGGTGTTCCCTGATGGTGGTTGGTCGCATCTCCTTATATGTCTGTACTCTTGAGGCTCATAAGTAAGCCCCCCAGCCATTGTCTTTCCCATTCCCTTCCCATGCATGGTATTACTATGCTGACAAATGTTGGTGGGCTTTCTTCTGTTGCTGAAGGGGAGAAAATGAAAACAAGACAAGAGCCACATTGAGGTGGAATGTGTTTTGCTGTGGCTGCCCCCCAAGAACTGAGAGACAACACCAGTAGCATTACCTGTGGATGGGAGTGCGCTGAGCTTGCTCCCCCTGAGGAATTCCACGACTTCCAAATATTTGCATCGTCTTCCATAATAAAATGTTTGCGCACTAAGAAGGTACCACAGTGTTTAGCCTGTATCTCTCAGGTTTCATGCAGACAGGCTAGACTGGTACATTCCCAGCTTTTACATCTTAAGCAACGTTGAGCCCACACAGACATCTGAATTGTTAGGTTTTCTTTTTCATCGTGCCAAGTGATAAGAAAATAATTACATATCACTTACGAAATGGTGTAGAAGGAACTTGTTTTAGCTGGGGCAAAGGCTCTCCATCCAATTTCTGGCAGTTCTGCCACTGTGCTGTGGCCCCATACAATGCCACCCTCACTGTTCAGAGGGAACCTGATCCTCTAAAACGGGGGGGGGGTGTTGAGGGGGTATAAATTGGAAGAGGAGAAGGGGAAAGAATGGTCACCTCCTGCTTGTGCAAACTTTGGGTCCACCCTCCATTAAAGAGAATGGTAAAAACTTCCAAATCTGCTGCCTGATTCATCAGGAGGACCAACATACTCTTACCATGGATTAAACTTATCTGAATGTTGCAGCCCTCGCTTAAAAATAATGATTTTTAAGTTTCAAAAAAGTAACTTCGCAACCCTGTACACACACTTGAGGTTAAGCCCCATTGGAATTAGAGCAGGCATAGGCAAACTCGGCCCTTCAGATGTTTTTGGGACTACAACTCCCATCATCCTTAGCTAACAGGACCAGTGGTCAGGGATGATGGGAACTGTAGTCTCAAAAACATCTGAAGGTCCAAGTTTGCCTATGCCTGAATTAGAGGGTTTAAACTTTTTAGACACATGCAGAAGGGTTTTAGTTCAGTGGGAAAGCATTCTGGAGGTTCAGTGTTTGGAAGCTGCATGGGGAATTGTTCATCATACTTTATCCTACTGAGACCGGTAGGCATCCGCTTATTCCAAGTAGCCATGAGCACATCTGCATGTATGCAGCCTTCCGTTGCTCTCCTGGTTCACTTGACCTGCATAAATTTCTTCAGTATCACAGAGCATAGAAAAAGTAGTTAAACCTCTCTGTCACCATTTCCTGTTTCTTGCTGAAAGCCTTATTGCCTACCACTCACCCCGCCCCCTTCTCCCGTACCAATGTTTTTACGTAGTGGGTGGATTCCTAATCTAGTTTCAGGGATGAAGTTTTCTGAATAGTGCAATAAAAAGCACAGTAGGAAGGAGCCTAGAGTCTCCTGGAAAATGTGAGAGTTTCGATACCTAGTGTGCACCTCTGTCAGTATCAGATACTTCTGCTTGGATCACTAAAACCAAAGCAGCTATCTTTGTAGAGCTTGCAGTTATCTGCTATAAAGTTCTCATTCTCATTCTCGTTCTCTCTCTCTCTCTCTGTCTCTCTCTCTCTCTCTCTCTCTCTCTCTAAGGTTACCATATTTTTTTCAAAGAATCTGGGGACACTTTTTTTCCCTTTTTCTTTTGAAAAGAGGGGACACAAAAAATATTTTAAAAACATTTTTTAAAAAAAGAAAGAAAGAAGTAATATCTTCTCTTCTGTGGCCTCCTCTGTCGCGTGGCCTTCCTCTGGGCCTCAGCCTGCTCTCTTGGAGCGCTAGCTGCCATGGAGTAGGCTCGGGTCGGTCCTGGGCTCGGCCATGTGTCCTTGCCCTCCTGGTGCTCTCCTACCTCTCCTCCTCAGCGGCACGGCAAGGTCAGGGCTCCCGTCTTTTTTCTCCTTCCTCTTTCTCTCTCTTCCTTCTCCTTCTCATCTCCTCCTTCTCACTGCGTCAGCTCCGGGGTTTTTACTGGCCCTGGAGCACCACTGGGCAGTTGGCCGGGTGACCAAGCGCTCTTGCTCCCAGCTCGATATGGGTTGTGGGAGGGGGGTCCAGCGGTTCCCCCAGTTGATGCACCGGGCACCCCCGGTTCCCCCTCAGCAGTGGCAGCGGCAGTCTCAGCAGCCCAGAGCCAGCCTGGTAGCGCAGTTGGCTCTGGCTGGCTTCAGGAGCTGCTCGCTGCCGTGGCGCCCACCATTTTGCCTCGCCGGAACTTCCCGTATGATGTGTCTTGTGCCAATGAAGCAATCACACAACATTCATTCCCTACTAATAAATCTACAACACTTAAAATATAAATCTGAGGACATTAAATGAAATCTGAGGACATTCCGGGGACGGATTTTGTTCAGGGACGGATTTGTAAATCCGGGGACTGTCCCCCGGGAAACAGGGACGTCTGGTAACCATATATATCTCTTTCTCTCATGCACGTGAACAAATTCATTTGCACTTAACATTCTTCACATATGATGGAACATGATTTCCTTCTTGTATAACTATGTTGATGTTTTTAGCTTTACTGAGGGCAATTTATTGAAATTCCCAATGGCAAAAAGTACTGTATATTTTAATATCCTAGTGTTGGATTTGCTCCCCTTCTCTCAATATATGTTTTTATGCCATGCGGGGGGCAGGGGTGGAGAACCTTCAAAAAAAGTTTGATACATTAACAAAAGAAATTGCTAAAATGTATTGTTATTAGAATGTTGGTGGATCCTGGGATTAGAATTGTCTGGCACCCAGCTTAAAACCCCAAGCCTTGATTAAATTCTAACACTTGCTGGATCCAGCAATTAAAGGGGTCTGACACCCACAAACTCAACGATATTATATAAAATTAGTTTTTAATTATTGCTCTTTTTTCTGTGTTCTTGGTGGTAGCTGTAAGGCACCTTGGGTCCCTGCCAGGGATAAAGACGGAATACATATATATATACCTGTGTGTATATATATATATATATATATATATATATATATATACACACACACACACACACATACCTCACAAATAAATGACACCAAAGGGACACACCTTCCAACCACACTGTTTTACATTAACTGATCTTTAAAATGTTAAAATCATGTTTAAAGATCCAGAAGGAGAAATGTCTTTATTGTTTTAATGTTAAGCACCAGGTGAGCCTTTCTAGGGAGCCTGTTCCATAACTGGTTTTTAATAACATGTAAATGGGGAGGTGGATGAGCTGGGCTGCCAGAAAACTATGTGGGTATTGTAAGGAATCATGGTAGAAGGAAGAAGGGATAGGAGGAAAAAGGAGAAGGCCTGATTCTCCAACAAAGGGCTTCCACCTTCCCTATCCAACCATCTCACTAGTTTCTCCAATTCTGCAAATGATATTATACATTATGATGTATAGGGAAATTTAAATATGCAGCAACACATTCAACTAAAGCTTGTTGGTGGCTGAGGTAGAAACAAGGGCAGAGATATTTTAAATGACAAAAGAGAATTGGGTGTTCCATGTAACGAGAGCAACAGGCACCAAAGCAGGGTTCCCCCTGCCCCTGCCCCACAGGAACCAAATTTGCTGCTTGTGTGAAGGCATCTCTGCAAGAAACTTCACACACAAGCAGTCGGCAGTACTGTGCAAACCTGAGAGATGCGGGGTTCTCAGATATTGTGTTTACTACGAAGTGGGAGATGAGTTAACACGCTCTTCTGACTGGGACGGGGCTGGGCTGTAGGTTAAAAGTTCCTCGCAAATTGTCTGCATTCTGCCTTGGGAGCCTGTCTCTGTTACAGTAATGCTTTGTTTCCTAGCATGACCACCCCTGGGACTTATTGGTCCAGAGCAAACACTGTCTCTTTCAGCCAGGACATTCCTAATATTAGTTTCCTTTTCTTCACTCGCCTCCCCCATTCCAGGTTGCAAAGGCTGGTGGACGTCCTAAGGAAGAAGATTGGCGCAGGGACCATTAGGACGGTGATCTGATAGAAAACTCCAGTCTGGGGAAGCATTCACATCTGGTGACCAGGCTGCTTCATTCAGCGCTGTGTAAACATTAAAGCCTTAACTTAGCAAACAGTTGTTAGAAGTGGGACACTCCAACGACATTCCAAGCCGAGATAAAATCAAATCATAAATGTTTAACCACTTGGCTGCTGAGTTCTGTGATTTGTCCAAAGGTATCCCAACAAAAATTTATTTACTTTCATAGCAGATCTGTTTTGGTAGGCTTAGCAAGCTTTTGAGAAAGTTTGTGTGTTGCATACACACACACACACACACACACACACACACACAAACACGCTATGGGCAATTGTTTCCAAGTGTAGCCTGCTTAGTCAGGTCTTACTCTTTCTGCCTAATATAAGATGCAAAACCTTGCAGATTATTCTTGAACTCTAAATCCACTGGGTTGAATACAAATATTGAAATTATCCGATAATGCTAGAATTCAAGATTTATGTAAATGATAGGAGCTCGTAATAAAAATATACATCTAATATCTTGTAAAATGTTGCATTTTTTCTTCAAGAACACTTTTCGTTTTCTTCCAACACTGTATAGGTTAATGAAAATTGTCCCTGTGCAAGACACACTGAAGGGAAGGCATACAGACCATTTTCAGGAAAAATTAAAACATATATCAAGTAGTAGTAGATATATGCTGATAACTTAGCAAATTCTTTATGTTCACATCTTAATTGTTCAGTATGTGATTTCTTTGGAGATTCCCAGTCTCATGTTGTACAGAAGCAGAGAAGATTCATTATGTCTCATTTAAAGCAGTCCTTGTTGTTATGAACCCTCTCAAATAAAAGCAAACAAACTGGCGATCTGATTAACCTCCCGCAAGAAATGTACACCTGTGTCAGTTTCCTATCATTTAGAATTGCCCAGGCAATCTCTTTCTCCAGCTTTCCTTGATTATTGTTTTACAGATTCAGTGAAAAAGATTATAATGGGGAAAATGAAGGATTGAAGGAAATAAATACCATATGATGTATTTGCTGTGAGTCAATGATTACTGTTCTGTTTCATTCTCGTTAACTTGGTTTATCCACCATTGCATCTCAGTCTCTGTACACTTGCACATGTGTGCACACACTAAAACTGAGCTACAGGGGTGAGTAACTCGTGTGTGTATCTGTACATCCATATTTCTCTGTCCATTTCATACATCCGAAGAAGTGAGCATTGCGCCTTTAAAATACAGTACAGCATTTGTTCCTTAACATGTCTCAGGATTTTTGATCTTTTTAATACTACAAACGTACATGGCTATTCTTTGCATAGTACAGAGTAACATGGCTGCTCTTGAAGGGAAAATGGGGGGGGGATCTATTGAAGATTCCAAGATTATAAACCCTGCTGCAAAGTTCATCCTCCAGATTCTAACGTCCTTCATACACGTGGGTTGCTTATGGTCTGCGAACTCCTTTCCTCTCAAAAAGGCAATCATGAGCAGATATCAGAAGCTGCTTGGGCTAGACACTAAGAACTTTTGGTTCTGTGTGCTTCAGCTGCATGTGATGAGCTATCAGAACTGCAGCTTCGATCATCTAGTCAGGTTCTAGAATGGCCCCATCCATCCAGATTGCCCATTGGGCTGACAGGAAGCGCTATATAAAGACTTCCTGTTTACACTGGGACCTTGTCTGGGCAACAATGGCCTCCTAGCTCAGGGGTGTTCCTGTGTGTCCTGTCTTGGTTGCTCAGTTCAGATTCTGGGCTCAGCTCCTTGTTCTTCTTGGCTCACCTTTGACAGCTGCCTCCAGCTCAGCATGACAGACTGGAATACAGTTTATGTCTCTTGATTTACGCAGGAAATGTGAGATGCTTTCCAATTTGCACACTGATCATGATCGTTCTTCCTCCTTCCCAGGGTTCAAAGTAAGAGCCTGTCCCCCCCGCCCGCCCACCCCCACTGGCTAAGATAACAAATGTAATTACCATTGCAAGTCGTGTCACTATTCCTTCAATGCTACATGGAGATACTGTGTATTTTTTCAGCGGGATTGCACAGTGAGTTGTGAGCCATCCATGGTCCATGTCATGGTAAAATATGTAAATAGCATCACGTTGTCTCAGAATAAGAGCATTATTAAAGCTTTCCAGCACTGTAATTAGATTCATGGTAAGCCTCCCCTAAGCCCTCACTAATTAACTATACTGCAACAAGTCAACTTGAACAGGAAAGAAATGGGGACCTTGCATCACCCAGCAATGTTTCCCATTCGGCCCCAAATCATAACCTGACTGTGGTATTTTGTACAGTGGAATCCCTCTCCCTTGACCCAGCCATCCTCTAAGAAGGGCGGCAGGGCATCTTCCATCCCAAGGCTGACTTCCTCAGCCTAGACTCACAGGGCCCTAGAACCCTCTATTCAGTTGGTGTATCAGGGGCAGTGTCAGCAGGTTGCCCAATATATGCAGCACTGCCAGGGTGATCTTTATCCCCGTTCTCCATCTTGTACCCCTCTTATCTTTTTGCTATCATTCTCCCTTCCCCTCCTCTCCACTCTTTCTGCTACCTTCTTCCCCCAGCCCCAGGTTAAGAACCCTGCCTTAATGGGTTCTTCTGGTGAGATTGAAAGCGTGCACACACACACACACATATACACAAATATATACATTTTATACACTTAGGGTGAGATTTGCCTAACAAGACACAGCAGTGCAAGCCCTGCACATGGAATTCTGCTTATGCAAAAGAGCTTCGCCCCTCTGCCCCTGTATGCCCCCCCCCGAAATAAATTCGGGAGGGTCAGGAGATCCCACTAGTGCAGGATGCAGGGGAGGAAGGAGAATTTGTTCCATCTGGCAAGCTGGAATTCTGGCACTGGTGGAACAATCAGAACAGGATAGTGTTGAATTCCTCCTATAGGCCCATGTGGTTTAGTGCAGTGATGCAGGTGCCAAACTTTTTTTGTGCATGGTTCCCACCTTAGGCTGGAATGTGCAGGTGGAACCCAGCTCCCTTGTATGCATCTTCTTGCAGGACAAAGGCATATGAGATTCTGTTTTGCTCTGCATCCAAAGGATGGAAGGAATTGTATTCTTTAGAATCTAAAATTTAGGTATTGGTAAAATTGCTTACCTATGTTATATTACATACTGTATGCATTTTCCCATTTAGCTCTAGGACTGTGTAAAATGTTTCATTTTTTTAAAGAGCTTTTCATTAGTGAAGCCCTAATGAACCTCCCAAAAGTTCCTTACTTGTTTTAATTTGATTGGAAGTCAGTTGTAGTCTTCAACAGTCTAGACTTTTCATTCTTCAGTTTTGTTGGAGCTGCACGTGTTCCAGGAGGCTTTTAAACAAATAGTTGGAATGGTTGAATGATTTACATTGCCAGTGCCTAGCTAAATATGTAGCCTTTAGAAAAGATGTGGTTTATTTTGGCACGGTTTAAAAAACTCAAATATTTTAAACATTTGTTAAGTTCAAGCTTGCACATTTGAACTAGGAGTATACGTTCCAAAATTGGATCTCAGGTTACCTGTCTCTTACCCTTTTGTAGATTGTAATCCTTTTATTAAAATAGGCTTTGTAAAGGTTGCTTTTAAAAACAATTCAAGGTGAAGGATTGTCATTGCATGAATGCGAGTCAGAAATTAACTGTAAAAATCAAGAAACGGGGGGCTTCAAAACTTTGTATTGATAGTCCAGATTTCGTTTTCTCTTCACCCCCTTTTTTACAGAATAAATACAGTGAAAGAGTACTTTCAGAACAAAGGCTTCTTTGCAGTCAATGTACCTGGTCCTATTCTTGCACCCTGCAGCATGGTTAAGACATGACCAGGAAAGTCATCAGCCCAAGTAAGACACAAGAGATCTTCCCATCATGAGCTCCTTAGGGCAGGCACAGGCACACATCTGATGCCATGTGGCTCCAGCCACTACTCTGTGCAGTCCAAGAAATGTGGAAGCCAGTGCAGTGCCACAGCTTTCCATGGAGGTAAGTTCCTGGCATGGTGCTAGTTCCTGGGGATGAGATGCAAGATCTGTGGGCCATTTGCATACACAGTGATC